GGGGGGGGGGGGGGGGGGGGGCATTCTGTATTGGTAGAATAATGGAATGAAGGAGATCATTGCAGGTGGTCATTATCTCATATACAATGGGCAGAGTTCAATGCATAATTCACTGTCTCTTACCTGGGCTCCCCCTCCTCACCATGATTCTCCTCCTCATCCTCACTGCCGCTGTACTCGTACTCTGTCTCATCTGCAAAAGAAAGTACAGCATAATGCAGATCAAAAGAAGAGAAATTCATGAAAACCACAGAGATCAGTATCCCAGAACATCACAGCTACACAAAACTCCTACACAACCTAACCTGCCCTTACAGACCCCATACACACACACCCTAACGTGCCCTTACAGCCCCCATACACACATACACACCCTAGCCTGCCCTTACAGACCCCATACGCACATACACACCCTAACCTGCCTGTACAGACTGCATACACGTACACACACCCTAACCTGCCTGTACAGACTGCATACACGTACACACACCCTAACCTGCCTGTACAGACTGCATACACGTACACACACCCTAACCTGCCTGTACAGACTGCATACACGTACACACACCCTAACCTGCCTGTACAGACTGCATACACGTACACACACCCTAACCTGCCTGTACAGACTGCATACACGTACACACACCCTAACCTGCCTGTACAGACTGCATACACGTACACACACCCTAACCTGCCTGTACAGACTGCATACACGTACACACACCCTAACCTGCCTGTACAGACTGCATACACGTACACACACCCTAACCTGCCTGTACAGACTGCATACACGTACACACACCCTAACCTGCCTGTACAGACTGCATACACGTACACACACCCTAACCTGCCTGTACAGACTGCATACACGTACACACACCCTAACCTGCCTGTACAGACTGCATACACGTACACACACCCTAACCTGCCTGTACAGACTGCATACACGTACACACACCCTAACCTGCCTGTACAGACTGCATACACGTACACACACCCTAACCTGCCTGTACAGACTGCATACACGTACACACACCCTAACCTGCCTGTACAGACTGCATACACGTACACACACCCTAACCTGCCTGTACAGACTGCATACACGTACACACACCCTAACCTGCCTGTACAGACTGCATACACGTACACACACCCTAACCTGCCTGTACAGACTGCATACACGTACACACACCCTAACCTGCCTGTACAGACTGCATACACGTACACACACCCTAACCTGCCTGTACAGACTGCATACACGTACACACACCCTAACCTGCCTGTACAGACTGCATACACGTACACACACCCTAACCTGCCTGTACAGACTGCATACACGTACACACACCCTAACCTGCCTGTACAGACTGCATACACGTACACACACCCTAACCTGCCTGTACAGACTGCATACACGTACACACACCCTAACCTGCCTGTACAGACTGCATACACGTACACACACCCTAACCTGCCTGTACAGACTGCATACACGTACACACACCCTAACCTGCCTGTACAGACTGCATACACGTACACACACCCTAACCTGCCTGTACAGACTGCATACACGTACACACACCCTAACCTGCCTGTACAGACTGCATACACGTACACACACCCTAACCTGCCTGTACAGACTGCATACACGTACACACACCCTAACCTGCCTGTACAGACTGCATACACGTACACACACCCTAACCTGCCTGTACAGACTGCATACACGTACACACACCCTAACCTGCCTGTACAGACTGCATACACGTACACACACCCTAACCTGCCTGTACAGACTGCATACACGTACACACACCCTAACCTGCCTGTACAGACTGCATACACGTACACACACCCTAACCTGCCTGTACAGACTGCATACACGTACACACACCCTAACCTGCCTGTACAGACTGCATACACGTACACACACCCTAACCTGCCTGTACAGACTGCATACACGTACACACACCCTAACCTGCCTGTACAGACTGCATACACGTACACACACCCTAACCTGCCTGTACAGACTGCATACACGTACACACACCCTAACCTGCCTGTACAGACTGCATACACGTACACACACCCTAACCTGCCTGTACAGACTGCATACACGTACACACACCCTAACCTGCCTGTACAGACTGCATACACAACCTAACCTGCCCTTACAGACCCCATACACACACACACACACACACAACCGAACCTGCTTTTACAGACTCCATACACGCACACACACACCCTAACCTGCCCTTACAGACCCCATACACACACACACCCTAACCTGCCTTTACAGACTCCATACACGCACACACACAACCTAACCTGCCTGTACAGACTGCATACACAACCTAACCTGCCTGTACAGACTGCATACACGTACACACACAACCTAACATGCCTTTACAGACTCCATACACGTACACACAACCTAACCTGCCTTTACAGACTCCATACACGTATACACACAACCCAACATGCCTGTACAGACTCCATATATGTACACACACAACCTAACATGCCTTTACAGACTCCATAAACGTATACACAACCTAACCTGCCTTTACAGACTCCATACACGTACACACAACCTAACCTGCCTGTACAGACTCCATACACGTACACACAACCTAACCTGCCTTTACAGACTCCATACACGTACACACAACCTAACCTGCCTGTACAGACTGCATACACGTACACACAACCTAACCTGCCTGTACAGACTGCATACTCGTATACACACAACCTAACCTGCCTGTACAGACCCCATACACACACAACCTAACATGCCTTTACAGACCCCATACACGTACACACAACCTAACCTGCCCTTACAGACCCCATACACGTACACACAACCTAACATGCCTTTACAGACCCCATACACACACACACACCCTAACCTGCCCTTACAGACCCCATACACACACACCCTAACCTGCCCTTACAGACCCCATACACACACACCCTAACATGCCTTTACAGACCCCATTCCTCAATTAGAAGAGGGATCCTTCAATTCCTTTTAATGGCAGGTAGTGCCGATAGCTAGGCACCGGATGTTGATTATAACCCCCCCTTATTTGAGGAATGGGATGCAGAGGCGTAGTGGTTAATACACCTGGGAGGAACCTGCGGCACAAGTACACAACCAATACTCAAAGTTCCCCATCTAGATCAAGGGGTGGCCAAATTTCGTGTGCCTCCAGCCGTGGTGCGCCTACAAATCCCATTAGACATCGCAAGACTCTTGACAGCCAGTGACATGACTCCCAGATGCAGAGGCACGATAGGATTTGCAGCTGGTGGGCCGGATTTTGCTACACCTGGCCACCCAGATAGACATCTTGGTACCTTCTTGGGGAAGGTGCACCCATACAAAATGAACTCGACTTCCCCCCTATGCATTGGCAAAGCCCTCCCCTGCTGCAGAGCTTGCCTATCCTCCATTTCTTCCCATTCTCCCACGCTCTTATTTCTGACTGTTCATCTCTTTCTCTTCTACTTTTCACTTCTGTTACATTGACAGGCAGGGGTAGTGCCAAATCCCTCGATGCAATTGGTCACTAGACCAGCACTGCAATGCACCCCTCACCACCCCCAACTGTGACAGATACCAAACACAACAGTTACAGGAACACACGCTTAGGGTTAAGGACATGATAAGTGAACTCTCCCCTCCAGATTATAATGCAGTCACTGGGACACTTAAGGTAGCCACAGACATTACATCAGGGGTAGGCAAACTCCGGGACCTTCAGCTGCGGGTGCGACTACAAAACCCATTAGGCATTGCAACACTCTGCCAGCCACAGGCATGACTCCCAGAGGCAGATGGATGATGGGATTTGTGGTTTCACCCCAGCTGGAGGGGGGTCACAGTTTGCCTAACCCTGCATTAGATGAACATTGACAAATCTGGGAGATTGCAGGTTGACGTGACTCTAGCGTGTGTCCCCATCTTTAGGAATAACAGTCGCTGGGGCAGGCTAGAAAACCTGAAAGGCAGTTGCCTACGTAGACTGACATTGCTCTCCTCCCTCATCTTTACAGGCATGCGCTCATCTATTCGGCTGAGGCGTATGGTGTAGGAATGTGGACTAATGCCTGACCAACTCCCTCTTATGTCTGTGGCCGCCCTTAAAGGTCGCAAACACACCTTTCTCACCGCGTTTCTTCCTGGAGCGGTCGATGTGATCCTTCAGCTGGATCCTGACCTGCCTCTCGGTCGGCTGGTCCCTGATGAATGGATACTTCAGCAGTTGCTCGGTAGGTGGCCGGTTCGTGTAGTTCTTGATGAGACAGGTGTCGATGAATTCAATAAATTTCTTCGACCTTTGGTTTGGAATTGGACAGAAATTGGAACAAATGTCAATGTGTGATCAGCTCAGACTGATAAGCAGTTAGCAGGACACAGTAGGCAATACTCTATGATCAGGGGTAGCCAAACTCCATTGCAAGACTCTGCCAGCTACAGGCATGACTCCAGAGGCAGATGCATGATGGGATTTGTGGTTTCACCACAGCAGGAGGGCCGGAGTTAGGTTACCCCTGTTCTATATGCTCTTATAGTAGGGGAAGGCAAACTCCAGCCCTCCAGCCGTGGTGAAACGTCAAATCCCATAAGGCATTGCAAGACTCTGCCAGCCACAAGCATGACTCCAGAGGCAGATGCATGATGGGATTTGTCCTGTCACCACAGCAGGAGGGCATCAGCAGAGGGGGACCTGAAGTTCTCCATCAGGTCCCCACTACTGATTGGCAGCAGCAGAGGGCGGGTGCAATAGCTAGTTTGCTATTGGCTATTGCAAAGTGAAATAGCCATAAAAGGTTGAGAACCACTGCCCTAGCGCAACACAGATAAATTCTCACGTGAAGCACCATTCAAAATATGCTGCCCAGCGGAGGGCAACCAAACTAATTAGGGGTATGGAGGACCAGAGCTACGAGACAAGGCTACTAAATTTAAACATGTTCACATTGGAGGTGAGGAGATTAAGGGGGGATATGATTTCCATGTACAAAATGTTCAATGGTGGTAGCAACATTAGCGATAAACTGTTTAAAATTAACTCCATTACAAAAACTAGAGGCCACCACCTAAAATTGGTGGGAAAAAAATTCCAGCACAAGGGGCGCAGGGGGTTCTTCACAGTAAGATCAGTTAGGGTCTGGAACTCGCTGCCACAGGCGGTGATTTCAGCAAATAATGTGGAATTGTTCAAGAAACTTTTGGATGATTTCTTAAGGGACCGCAATATACAGGGGTACAGGTAATATCCAGGGGTACAGGTAATATACAGGGGTACAGGTACTCCTAGAATGAGATCCTAATAGGTTGGACTTGATGGACTAATGTCTTTATTCAACCTCAAATACTATGTAACTGTATATGTGCTGAGTGTCAGCTTGAGGTGGGTGGGCTGGGGCTATGTCCGCGAGGGAGCTCCATCCATTCATCCATTGCTTGCAACTCCCTCAGGTGTCCTGTAGAGGTGCCTGAACCGGAGTGACGTCACATTATGACTCCCGCACCTCTACAGGGCACGCAAGGAAGCTGTACCAGCAATGCACATATGGATGGAGCTCCGTCACAGCACAGCAGCCCACACTGGACCCCAGGCTGATGATCCACTCCTTTTCTCGTAAGGTAGGAAGACTATAAGGATCTTAAAAAAAGTGTGTGTGTGTGTGTCTGTGGTAGTGTGTGTCTGTCACCTCCCACCCAGAGTTCGATCACCCGCACCGGAACACGTGGTACAGCAATGCCATGCGTTCCAGTGCGGTGTGACTTGGGTCATGACTTAATGACCCAAGAGAAATGTGGGTCTTGAGGTTACACAGGTTGAGAACCACTGCTTTAGAGGGATAAATCCATTTTTGAAAAGCGCACAGTAATCCCATACATGAAATGGGTGCAGCCTCCCTTCCCCCACATCCGAAGGAATCATAGAGGATAGAAAAGTTTCAGTTAGAGCTCTGCTTAAAGGAGAACTATGGGGTAAGTGTTTTTCCCCATAGGTCTCCTCAGGGTCACGGGAGGACATAAACTAGCATCCTCTTGTGACCCAATGCTCAGTATATGGGGAGCTACAGCTCGTGGTATACCGAGAGTGCCGCAGCCGGGACGGATCCCGACATTAGTGTTGAGATCCGCCCAGCTGCGTGACTGACAGCTGGCTCTGACTATCTAGAGGCAGAGCCAGCTGTACCCGCCCCCGTTCATTCCTCCAGAGTTTTAGGATCGGAGAGGGG